GAACTCATAGCATTGAGTTCATGGGGCGGGACACGAATCAAATCTCCATGCACTTGACATTTATGACACTTTTGCACAAACTTGCAACAGTCATGTTCCATAGTCATCCAAAAGTAACCGGCTCGAAGGATCTTTCTGGCCAAAGTGAGCCCATTCATGTGAGTACCACTAACTGCCGCATGTATCTGTTCCAGAAGCTTTGCAGCTTCACTAGCATCAACACACCTGAGAAGACCTAAATCTGGAGTCCTCCTATAAAGGATTTCCTCACTTGCAAAGAAATTGAGGGCCATACGGCGTATTGACTTCTTCTGGTTGAACGTTGCATTCTCGGGATAAATTCCGGTCTCCAAGTACTTCTTGATGTCAAAATACCAAGGTAAACCATCTGGTTCCGCTTCAACATATGAACAATGAACAGGCTGCTCTTTTACCTCTATATCCAAGGGATCAATATAAGTTGTATCCGGATGTTTGATCATTAAGACAATGGTGGCAAGAGCATCAGCCAACTCATTCTGCGTCCTGGGAGTGTGTCTGAACTCAATCTTGCGAAATCTTTTGCAAAACTTTGTATATACTGCACATACGGTGTGATCTTTGGATTCTTCACAACCCATTCAACTTGAACCTGATGGATCAGCAAATCTGAGTCTCCAATAACCAACAACTCGTGAACATTCATATCAATGGCCATCCTCAAACCTAGGATGCAAGCTTCATACTCAGCTATGTTGTTTGTGCAATCAAATCGGAGTTTGACTGCAATAGGATAATGCTGACCGGATTCCGACACTAAGACTGCTCCGATACCTTTCCCTTGGTGATTCGCCGCTCCATCAAAGAATACTCTCCAACCAGGGTAGGCTTCAGAAATATCTTCCCCTACAAATGAAACTTCCTCGTCGGGAAAATAAGTCTTGAGCGGCTCATACTCCTTATCAACTGGATTCCCTGCAAGATGATCAGCTAAGGCTTGTGCTTTTATCGCCTTTTGAGTCACATACACAATGTCAAACTCACTCAAAAGCATTTGCTATTTAGCCAACTTCCCGGTCGGCATTGCTTTCTGGAAAATATACTTCAACGGATCCATTCTAGAAATAAGATATGTGGTATAAGAAGACAAATAAATGCCTTAACTTCTGAGTAATCCAAAGTCAAAGCACAACATGTTCTCTCCAAAAGTGTGTAACTGGCCTAATATGGAGTGAATTTCTTGCTCAAATAATAAATGGCTCGCTCCTTCTTCCCAGTCTCATCATGTTGACCAAGCACGCATCCCAATGCATTATCTGAGACAGACAAATATAGCAATAACGGACTCCCTTCTCGCGGAGGGACCAACACTGGTGGATTGGACAAATAGTTCTTGATGGCATCAAAAGCAGTTTGACATTCTCCGGTCCATTTGGTTGATGCATCTTTTTCAATAACTTAAAGATGGGCTCACACACCACGGTGGATTGAGCTATGAACCGGCTGATGTAGTCAATATTCCTAGAAACTCATCACCTCCTTCTTTGTCTTCGGAGGAGGTAATTCTTGCCTTGATCTTGGAAGGGTCAAGCTCAATTCCTCTCTTGCTAACTATAAATCCCAACAACTTGCCAGCTGGCACTCCAAAAGCACATTTGGCGGGATTTACCGTCAAATTGTATCGACGCAGATGATCAAAGAATTTTCTCAAGTGAGTCAAGTGATCCGAACTTTCGCGGGACTTGATTATGACATCATCTACATACAATTCGATCTCTTTGTGAATCATATCGTGAAAGATGGTTGTCACGTCCCTCATATAAGTAGCACCGGCATTCTTGAGACCAAAAGGCATCACCCGATAATGATATACGCCCCAAGGCGTGATGAAAGCTGTCTTTTCTGCATCTTCTTCGTCCATCAGGATCTGGTGGTAACCCGCATAACAATCCATAAATGACTGCATCTCATACTTAGCGCAGTTATCAATGAGGATATAAATATTTGGCAATGGAAAATTATCTTTCGGGCTAGCTTTGTTGAGATCTCTGTAGTCAACACAAATTCTGATTTTTCCATCTTTCTTGGCAACCGGAACAACATTGGCTAACCAAGTCGAATATTGCGTCACTTCCACTACTTGAGATTCGATCTACTTCATAATCTCCTCTTTGATCTTCAAACTCAACTCAGGCTTGAATTTCCGAGTCTTTTGTTTTACTGGGCTGAAATCTGGATTGATTGGCAACTTGTGGGACACTATATTCGTGCTTAGCCCTGGCATGTCTTTATAAGACCAGGCAAATACATCAATGTACTCCCTGAGCAAATGAACCAGGTCTCTTCTTTGGGCTTCAGTCAGATGGACACTGATTCTGACTTCTTTGATGCATTCCTCATCTCCGAGATTCACAGTTTCAGTTTCTTCAAGATTTGGCTTGTGTTGATTCTCGAATTGTCGAAATTCATCAGCAACATGATCGGGTATCTTATTTTCTTCTTCGTATTCCTCACATTCGTCATCACCTGCTTCATTTCGTTCACTCGGTTCATGACATGACATGACATTGGCAGGTTTTAAATTAATATTACTGAAATCATAAACGAACAAAGTTAGGAAAGTAAAATATAAACAGATAAATAATCAAATTTTCGATAAAAGAGGCTTTTCATTTAAATTGAAAGGCAAGCACAAACTTTGGCCATGACCGAGAGCCATTTTGCCTTTTTAAACATCACAAGGGAATTTAAAAGCTTCAAACAAGTAACAATTGTATAAAGGGTGGGTCTCGGGCCTCTTCCGGACTACCACCGATTTTAAAAATAAACAAAAACACATGTCCTTTCTACCCAGATGAGCGGGAAATCAGGATTGGTGTGGAGGTGGCCTGATGTTCCAGCCTCTTCTTCGATGACCGCATCAAACTCCTCAAATAGGCCCTAGATCCCTTCCCCGAGACCACCATTGTTGACGTGTTCTTGCACCAGGAATGACTGGTACAGATGAGGAATTGGCCTAGCCAACGCTTGATCAACCCTTTTGTTCTTCATCTCCGCTTCGTCATCTGTTGGGACATAACCCAAACCAAACTTTGCTACTTTGGCGGGAATTTGGATAGGCTCGACGATTCCTTGACAATGTTTTCCCAACCCAAAACCCGGTTCAAAACTGTTCTGGAGCATGACAGTAGCAACCATCTTGTAAACTGTAGGCATAGGGGGGTGTGGAGCCAAGTCATCACCGGAGGCATTTACCAGCTCCACCGTGTAGAAATCATAACCTCGAGAGATATCATCAACGATTGGTGCATACCCATTGGAATGGCTCCCTTCACCATAAATGACCAATTCCTGGTCCTTCCAAACAAATTTTAACAGTTGGTGAAGGGTAGATGGCACAGCCCCGGCCATATGGATAAACGTTCTTCCCAGAAGCAGATTGTAACTAGTGTTGATATCCAACACCTGGAACTCCACATTAAACTCTGCAGGACCCATCTGAATTCCCAAGTTTACTGCCCCTATCGTGTCTCTCTGCACTCCATCGAAAGCTCTCACATTGACCTGGTTTTGTTGAACCTTTCCCAAGTCGAATTTCAGCTGCTTGAGAGTCGAAAGTGGGCAGATATTGAGACCGGACCCATCGTTGACCAAAACACGATTTATAACTTTGTCCCGGCATTTGATGGTGACGTGCAGAGCTTTGTTGTGCATCCTTCTTTCAAAGGGTAACTCTTCGTCACAAAAGCTGATTCGATGTCCCCGAATGACCTGATTTATCATGGCTGCTAGAATGTCACTGTTGGTACCCACGGTCACATAAGTATCGTCCAGAGCCTTCATCAACGCTTGCCTATGCAGTTGTGAACTCATCATCAAAGTCCATACAGAAATCTGAGTTGGTGTCTTCTCCAAATGCTTCATAATTGAATAGTCTTTCGACTACATTTTCCTCCAGAACTCTTCAGCTTCACTAATCGGCCTTTTTGTCTGATCCTTTTTCTGCCCTCCTTGAGCTAACTCTTCCGGTGTGTAGCACCTGACGGATCTGGTCATACCCTGGGTAACAGCCGTTTCAATTACAAACTTTGGTTGGGTAAGAGCTTCTCGTGGCACCAAGGCAACAACCTTCTCGGGTGTCAAAATCACAAACTCTTTCTTCTCTCTGATGCTCAACGAAGCTACCGCCCTTTCCAGTTCATCAGGAGCAATCGGAACTATTGCCTTCGTCACGCACCAGTCATCATCTGTCTCTATCATATTGATAGTAGCACCTCTATGATTTGGCAAAGGATTACTATTGACATTGGGCGCAACTGTCTGAAGAGAGACCACATTTTGGTCAATCAGGTCTTGGATCTTAGGTTTCAGGTTAATACAGTCCTCGGTATCATGTCCAACGCTACTGGAGTGATACGCGCACCTCTGATCAGGTCTGTAAAACTTTGAGCTAGTGTCAACTGGCTTGAGCCCCACTAGATGAATATATCCTGCCGCAGTTAATCGCTCGAGCAACTTTGTTTGGCTTTCAATGAGCGGAGTGAAAATTCTGGCGGGCTTCTTCTCAAATCTAGGACGGGGGGGATCGTAATTGCTTTGTTGAGGATGAGGCATTTGACAATAATCTGGATTGTTTGGACGGGGGGCTTGATATCTGGGATATGAGTTGGTTTGATAGCTTGGTTGTGGAGCTTGGTGGTTTGAGGGGGTATTTTGGTAAAGTGGAGTTGGGGTTTGATACATTGGGGGAGGCGTTTGGTAATTTGTCTGAATGTTGGCACAGTTGGGGGCGGCATTTCGGTAGTGATGAGATGGAGTCTGGTAATCTGGAGGGGGAGTTTGGTAGATAGTAGGGGGAGTTTGGTAGCTAGGAGGAGGAGTATTTTGATAACTGGGGGGAGGGGTACTTTGGTACTCATCTGGTGCAAAACGAGCCGGGTACGAACCCTGTGAAGGTCGAGAACGAGCTTGGTATGATAAGGATTTCCTTGGGGTCTTCTTCCCCTCGTAAGAGATAGAGGACACATCCTCTCTTTTCTTCTTCAACAAGCCCGAAGATCCGGGTGAGGCAGCAACACGGGCAATCTTCCCGGTTCTCAATCCATCTTCGATAGTCTCACCTACCTTGACTATCTCAGCAAATTTTGCTCCAACGAGCAACATGCTTCTGTCATAATACTCGGTCTCTTGCACCCGCACAAACACCTCGACAATTTCCTTTTCTGACTTACGAGGTCTCACTCTAGCTACCTCCTTTCGCCACCTATATGCGAATTCTCTAAAACTTTCGGTCGACTTCTGCTTCATCTTCTCCAAGGAGTAGCGATCAGGAACAATCTCCACATTGTAGGCGAATCTTTCGATGAAGTCCTTAGCCAGAGCGTTCCAACTAGACCATTGTCTCGTTTCATGAGACGTAAACCACTCTAGAGCCTCTCCGCTCAGACTTCGGCTAAAAAGCCGCATTAACAAAGCTTCGTCTTTTCCAACTCCAACGAGTTGGTCACAGTAGGCCCCCAGGTGTGCTAAGGGGTTCCCCGTTCCTCTGAAGATGTCAAATTTTGGCACCTTGAACCCTTTCGGGAGGTCCAAATTCGGATGAATGCACATGTCTTCGTAACTCAACCCGGCGACCTCAGGAATGCAGTTCAACTCCTTCAGGGCTTTTCTAATTTCCTCTTTCGCATCTATCTTGGCGGTCTCTTCCTTTGACCTCCACTCTCTCTCCCTCTCCTCATAGTGGTCGAGCTCCGAACCATAGGGGTCATGCTCGTTAGGGACCGGTATTTGGAAAGTGGTTTTTTGTGGTAGTGGTGGAGCAATAGAGGGACTTTGGGCATTTTGACTGGCTTGATAATTTTGAGGGAAAGCCTAAGGGTTGGTATGTTGATTTTGGTGATGGAGGGAAATGTGCGGGCGGTTAACATTTTGGCTTTGAGGGGGTAGGCCAGTTTGGTGGTTTGCATTGGGGGAAGGGAGTAGTGCTTGGAGGCTGGTATTTTGAGGAGGGGGTGGTGTTTGATAGGAGGCTGAGGCGTAATGAGGGTTTTGGGTGGTAAGGTCAATGATGAAGGGATTACGAGCAGGACTTGAAGGCTGGTTTTGAGCTTGTTCCATGTCAGGAATGGGAATTTGAGCTAGCGGTCTTCCGTCTGGTTGAGCATTGACAGCAAAAATTGGAGGAGGCAAATCTTGTTTCCTCTTCATCTCAACCCTCATCTCAGCAATTTGTTGCATCAACTGTATGATCAGTTCATTCTGATCAGCAAGGGCGGGCTGAGCCACCACGACATCAGTAAGGCTGGTTTCTTCGTTGTTATCACCCATTGCCGCTTGTCCCTTTTGTGAATTTTGACTGGGGAAGGAATCTTTAGGACCTTTAGATCTAGCGAAATAAGGATCGGCCAGTGTATCAACACAGATCAGTTCTTACTACCTGCAGAGAAAAACAACTCAAAGGCAAATCTATTAGTATTAGGTATGGATGAATAATGCAAGATATCACATAGAAAGTAGATAAACACATAAAAGTTGCTTTGTCTAAGAACAATGCCAACCCACTAATAATGGGAACTTATTTTTTGAACAAGCAGAAATTTGCTCGTTTTATTTTGGGGATAGTGACTCAGAAAGGCTAAATTGCATTAAGCTAAGGTCTTCTAGCTGCATCTTCTGGCATCTGTTGATCTGAACTCAATGTTTCTTTGTAGAATGAAAGAGGGGGAGAAGAAAATTTGAAAAAGATAGGGGCCGGGCCTTGAAAGGCTGCCTACGTATCTCCGAAGGAGAATTCGGGCCCTACGTAGTTCAAATACAAAAGGAAATTCTCATCTTCATTCATTCATTTGATTGATTAACAAGGAAAGTGAAAAGAAAACATGCAATAAAACTCCTAAAAGATAGATGGTGCCTTCACCGAAGCTCCTCCTTTAACTGCCGTATTAGCCACGGGGGGTAAACTCATATGCTTCGGGGGCGGTTTCCTCATTCTCTTCTTTCCACCGTCCCTTGAAAGGAGGTCGATAGACAATTTCCTTAAGTTCCTCTTCAACAGATTCAGGTCCAGTGCCTTCAGGACCACTGTTGGTGGCCTCTTGGTTGAAGAAAGAGTATTTTCCATGTAGTTTTTGAAGCCTCATGGTTATATCATTGTTGAAGGCATTATGTTCCTTCCGCATAGCAACCGTCTCCTCGTTCATGACATCATATCTTGCCATCTTAGCCGCTAACTCCGCGTCCAGTACTGCACTTTTGGCTTGCGCAGCTGCAGTGGCTTATTCTACTTTTATTCCTCTTTCTCCCGTCTTTCGAATCTCTTGTTTGAGTCGACGCAGTTTCGTCCTTAGACTCTCCTCAGTCGTTTTCACTTCGACATTCTTGCTCTTTTCCATCTTAGCAGCAATTTCACCTTTCCTGAGATGATAGAGTAACATTTTAGGATTTGGTAGTAGGATTTTATTTCTGGCTGAGAAACTCAAGACTCGTGGAATTTTGGTCGGACATTTTGGTAGTGACTTGTATTTGGCATTTTTCAGAAAGTTTTGACAAGGAGTGGGCTAAGGATGTCTTCATTCAAAGCAACGTATCACATAAACAGTTAAAACACACAAGTAAACAGACAAATATCACGTCCTAAACATGCATGTGACCCTTTTGTGCCGAACGTAGGCCTAGCGAATTGAAGGATGTATATGTCTTTTTAAGCCAATTCATTATCCCCAAAATATTTCATTAATAGCATTCAAAAATGTTCGACAAACATAAAATTGGGGAAAAGAGTTCGAAAAATAAATTACAAGACAAAGTATAGAAAAAGCAATCCCACGCAGGGGATGGTAACAAACTCCAAGCTCATTCTGATCTTTCACCAAGTCTGCTCCTCTTGGCTGTGTTGACCTCTTCCCACATAGCATATATGTTCGCCCATAGGTGATCTCTAGCCAATCGAGCCCCTTCTTGATGTCTGAACCTCTCGACCGACTGAATCTGCTGCTCCATGCTATCATCTAATTCTAACATATATTGCCTGGATTTTTGTAGCTCTTGTTTCAACTGGGCTTTGACTTTGGCGTCTTCTGAGTATCGACGTTGATGCTCTAACTCATTCCTATCGAACCTCTCTTGGAGTTGATGAAGTCGGATTTGATGCTTGGCTCCAACATCTGCAATAATATGGGGAACGTTTGGACCGAGTTCGATAGTTCCGGCGAGACTCTTCTTTAACCATTCTTTGTAATCCTTAGAACATTCCGGACGAAACCTATTTGGCACCGGCTCACCCAATACCCTTCGAGTCTTTCATAATTGAAGCATATTTTTAGTAAAAGTGACTTCGCCATTTTCATGATCCATCACAAATCTTGTCATGTCTTCTATCTGAGGAAGCTCTTGTTTTCCTCCTAGCTGTCTAAGTACTTGAGAAGGAGCATATGGCCGAGTTCCTCTCAACCCAGCAAATATCAAGTAGGGGGTCTTTCCACTTCGGATCACAATTTGTTTTGTTACTACCAAGCATTGGATAGACCACTGCACATTTTCCTCTCTCAAACCCTGAAGTCTCGGTACCAAAACTCTTGGCCTCCAGTCTTGTTGAAATGATTACGTTGCACCCACCAATCGTGACTTTCGAGCCTGGTCGGTCTTTCCAAGGGATCTGGTTCTGTCGGATCATGAGCTTTAATCAAGTGTCTTATCATCCACCATTGAAGTATCAGGTTGCACCCTTGAAAGAAACGTGTGCCATTTTTACGCCTATCCAACGCCCTGTAAATGTCAGCAAGGATCATAGGAGCCAAATTGTAGTACTTTCTTACAGGCCCATACCCTACTCCATTAAAAATAGAATGAGTAACTATTATTACACTTGGATGGATGGTGTACTTTGGTCCTTGGGGAAATACCATTGTCCCAAGTAGACATATCGCAAAAGCGAAGGGGCATGCTTCCTCCCATTTTTCTTCTGAAACAAACTCTTCTTTGAACTTCTCGTCAGCCCTTGCACGTCTAAATTGCTAATACAACTTTCGAAGTGGAATATTTGACCCGGGCAGCCTGTCCATCCATTCAGCTTTGACGAAGTGACAATTTTTTTTTGATTTCGGCAAAATCCCATACTTTTGGAAAGAGAAGATCAATATCGGGTTGGTGTTTCCTCTTGTTGCACATGCCAACACTCTCGTAACTGGTAAGAACTTCATTTATAGTCGAAGTCAACTCTACTTCCCCAAACCGAAATATCATGTTGTCGCTGTCCCAAAATTTCACCATCGTCCCAATCAAGTCGGGGTAAGCCACCATTTCCATTAATGACAGGAGATGGCCTATGTGTCTTTGCACTTTCCTTTTATCTTCCTTGTTCATGAATTTCCACCAAACTTGGAGGTAAGGATCAAGTATAATCACCATTCGGGTTATTAACGGCTTAAATGTCGGATTCATCCTACAAGAAAAACAAATAAAAGTAAGTTAATCCCCACCTCCACTTGATAATTGATTTGTTTAAAAATGACATATACATCCTTCAATTAAAACACATAAATATGATTGTCTTTTTATTGGCAAATGGGCCAAATAGACACAAGGTGGGCTTCTAATGAGCCCAACACGGCCTTTGGGGTGTTGGGTCGACCTAGTTCAAAATGCGCTAAAAATTGAGATTTGGTTTCGCTCTACGCTAGTTGACTAAGAGTGGCTTTGAAAGACCGGGAACCCAAGTGGACAACTTCGGCCGGATTCACGACAACCATTAGACGCATGACGTACCAATAAATCGCCGATCCTTTCGAAAAAGGGTTGAGTATAAGAATTTCGGTTGCGATTATGCAGAAATCGTCCTTAATATACTATACATATAATAGGAACATGTCATCAATGCAATGACAGTTATAACAAATTAAACACATTGAGAGCAGATAAACAATTTAGCAATTAATACGATTAGTCAAACAAGTCAAATCTTATAGTTAGAACTTAATTAACTCCTCAGCAGAGTCGCCATTTCTGTTGTGCCGTAATTTTACTAACCTTAGAAAAATCACTTTTTGAAATGTTTTAAGTATTAAACAATTTAAGAAAAATACTTAGAAAAGAGTCGCCACTTAATTTTTTAAAGAAATTAAGAAAACTTATAATTTTCAAAGATTTAAACAGAAAAAATCAATTAAAAATATCAAAGAGGGTTCGGGGTTCAATATACACTTCGAGAAGGGTTTAAACATTCGAATTGTCCGCTAACATGCGGTTGACCTGCGACTTGACTAAAATATATTTTGACTATTTTTAGGAAAATGGTTTAATGTAAAAGAAAATATGATAATTTATAATATTCAGTTAACTTTGAAAAATAGTTAAATAACGAACATTTTATATTTCATTTTTTTTCTATTTATTTAGAGAATGAGATCCAAAATGAACATTTGAATTAAATTACAAGTGATTAGAATATTAATAAAACTAGATTAATTAGCATTTATTTAATTCATTTCAAACCAATTTAATAAATTAAAATATTAAAATCATTTCTTAATTGACTAACCTAAATACTTTAACTTAAAAACAATTTTAAGGTGAATAAAACGTGATTAAGTGAAGAAGTATTAAAGAACATCTCTTTTTCATAACCAAAAGTTCTAATTTAATTGAAGATATAAAATTTGACTAATATACTTGATTAATAAAATAAATGAACACAACAAGTGAAATGTATTAAAAATAAACCAACACAAAGAAAATGACTC